TCAATTTCGTTCAGTTACGTATTGCTGTGTGTCTGCACTTTCTGGGAACATTGGAAATTGTATAACGGCAACGGTCAATGTTGTACAATGTATACCTGCGTTGTTTATATACACGCTACACTAACTGTCGTAGGTAAATTCTGAGATTAAATGTGTATGTGTGTATGTATGTATGTATGTTTGTTTGTTTGTTTGTTTGTATGTATGTATGTGTGTGTGTGTGTGTGTGTGTGTGTGTGTGTGTGTGTGTGTTACAATATATCACTAACACTTACTTAATACTCACACAGCTGTTGAGGTTGCGGGGAACTGGGTCACCATACACTGCCCCTTTAGTTCTCCATATAATTAATGTATTACTAACATGTGAAATATAAACACCTGCCAAGACGCGCAGCTACAACAGTACTGGGTGTTGCAGGTGGCAGTGAGTCAGCGGCTACTTCCCCTGCGGTGTGTGGTGTGCCGCGCCAAGATCCTGAGACTGCGGCAGGCCCGGGACTCCCCCTTCCCGACTTCCGTGTCTCAGTACTCTATGGCCGCCGTCGCCGCCTCCGCCAGGTGTATGCCCACGTCATCGTCACTCTACTCGTTCGGCTCCGGGTCGTCAGGGATCTCAGGTAAGTATCGGACATAAATAATATTTGAAGCTTTGGTCCTGCTGGTGGGTGTTCCCTCATTCACTCCCCAGGACCGAAGGTAGACCGACTCGGGTGTTGTAGCCCAATGAGAAGTTATCTTGACACCTCTGTTGACAATGAACGTCTTAAGCGATGGTTCCACACAGCCTCGAGTACCACAGACTCAGGTATAAAGTACAGGTAGAGTAATTACCATGTGGATACACCATCATAAAGGCACCGACAAAATTCCCTCGACACTTTTGGTCATGGAGGTAAGGAGGATTTAGATTTTAACGTCTATTTACTCTTATTTTTGTTATTATGGATACTTCCTGGTGTTAGTGTGACATGAAGTATAATGGCAATCTACGTCCACCAGCTATGGACCAATCACATGCCAGATAGTGACAGGAGTCGAGGGAATGTTGGTTACTACTGGGCCTTATGACTCTAACTGTGGCTGATAACCTGAAATACAATACCGGACAGACAGACAGACAGACAGACAGACAGACAGACAGACAGACAGACAGACAGACAGACAGACACACACCTGCATATTTCCTGGGATTTTATAATTAATCAAATTTCAACTGGGTAGTGTTATAGCCGTCAGACTAACCGTCGACTCGGCTACTGTGACATCAAAGTGATCATCGTCGCTATAATTCTCTTTTACCCTACAACAATGGTGTGTGTGTGTGTGTGTGTGTGTGTGTGTGTGTGTGTGTGTGTGTGCGTGTGTGTGTGTGTGCGTGTGTGCGTGTGTGCATCCCTCCGCGACTAGTTTGGTATCTGCTCAATTAATTTTCACTGAGTCAATAGCGAGAGCCTAATTTTGGTGCTAAACTGTAGTGTAACACAGTCATGCTTGGAACACTTGGTCGTGATGCTGCCTTTGAGAAATTTTGAAGTTGTAGCCATATTTGATTACCTGAAGAAGATTAGACCCCCAGCTTACTTAAACTGATGAATAAACACCCTAATGCTACTTGGGGTTCAGGTTAGGTTTCGTTAGATTAGGTTAAGTTGGGTTAGGATGTGCTAGGTTAGGTTAGATTAATCTTAAGCTGGGGGGCTAATCTTCATGCGGTCCCAAATATTTTATCAGAGAAATGTGTGAATGGGAGGAGAGTACACCGTGTAGAACGTTACATCTCGTTATTAGCTTCATCAACCATCCTTACGAATGCCAATCGTGACTCACTCGGTGGACAGACGATTGGGCCACGGGACGTTTGGGCCATGGACCGCGGGACGTTTGGGCCATGGACCGCGGGACGTTTGGGCCATGGACCACGGGACGTTTGGGCCATGGACCGCGGGACGTTTGGGCCATGGACCGCGGGACGTTTGGGCCATGGACCACGACCCCAAGACGTTTAGACCACGGTGGTTAGGACGTTTGGCTCATAGGTTAAACATAATAATCATATACTATGTGAAATATAACAGTCACTATATTTTATTTAAACCTTTGGTTGTCCTCGACGAAGATCGTGGCTTATCCCACGGAGTAACTCTGGGGTGGTTTTTATGCCTTCCTTCCTGTACAGACAGAAGCTGCGGAGGCGACCCTGGAGCTCATCATAAGCTTTATTGACCCGCTTTGTTGGACGGATACCACGCTCCTCCTGAAGTAGTACGGCGTCGACACGGGCGTTCTCTACTTGAAGACAATAAGTTAGTTTCCAGACTGTGGGATCAGCATGACCCACAAGACTGGTGAACTTATTATTTCACCCTCAGCAGATGTTGTTTGTTCTAAGTTGGTTGTCAAGGGTGACCTGGAACATGTTACACTTCTCATGTGGGAACACTGGTGGCGTGCGTCGCAGGCAGACAGGCGTGATGACTCCAAGCTGAACACTGTTGTCCTGTTGTGACGTAACTGTTCAGTGACGCGTGTAGCATTGGAGTACTCCAGGAGTGCTGCTGTCTCATCTGGCATAGTGGAACCAAAATACTGCATGTCCTCTTTAGCTTCTGGAGGCAGGAAGACTAGTCCATCCGCCTGACCGCAAAACAGGCGGTAGTCCTCATCAGCCTCATACTGAGGCTTAAGTCCAAGTGCTTGAATCTGACGCCATACAGACTTTTTTCTGTTAAACAGTTTGGTAGTATTTCATAAATATTTTTTCTTGGTGTAAATCTCAATCTTTAGGCATAATAAAATCCCATGGTTCCAAACGTCCACCCTACACACAGCTCGTGGCCCATGAGCCATGGCCCAAACGTCAGTGGTCCAGTCGTCCTAAAACCGTCTCACTCACTCACCAAAAATAAGTCACCCAGCTCTCATTGACGCAGGTTATAGTCAAATCTGATTCACTCTTGTCAATTTCAAACGTAGTAATAGTTAGCAAAGTAACAAAAAAGAATTTAAGTAACAGAAGTAAGTGTAAGTAGAGAAATAAACCAAGTAAAGAGGCAATAAGAGTGAATATAAATAACAGAAGTGGGGATAAGTACGGATATAAGTATCGAGGTGGTAAGAGTGAATATAGTGTATATGTAAAATAAGAGAGGATAAGAAAACTTAGGTAAGAGCAAGTAAGGATAAGTGAAATGAAAAAGGACAAAAACACGAATAAAAGTAAGGATGTGTGAGATAAGAATACTTAAGGATGCATAGGTAAAGCTACGGTCACGCGAGAGTTTCTACCCAAAATAAATCCACCGTAGCGTCGATTTTTCAACGAACTCCTCAAGTTGACTCTACAGTTATTTGTTGTCGAAAGTTAGACGATACTGAGCGTCTGAAAATCTACGGTACGGTGGAATGACATTCGCTATATACAGTCTATTGTATGAATAAAATTTCCACAGTTCTTATTTTTTCTTATTAATGTTAAAATGTACAAAAAATATAGAATGTATTTCAGTAACAAAACACGAGCAAAAATGTCAAGGTAAATAAAAAATCATAGTAATAATAAGATACTTCACGACGGAAATTTCATTTGACTCTGAGTACTGGCGTCACTTTTGTAAACAAACAATCGCCTGAACGCTACAATTGTTTCTTTTTCGTCTTGGTCTTCTTTATAGGACCACACATCTCACTAAGGCGGTTAAAGCTGCCATAGAAACATACAATAAAGTCATTCTGCTCTCCAACTGAGCTCTAACTAGCCACGAGAACTGGGCACTTGGCTAATGGTCCCTTTGGCCAGTGTGCGGATCGTACCGTTGACTTATTAATCCTGTGGATGAAATGCTTTCGTAGATTTATTGCACGGAAAACTGTAATGTGACCGTGACTTAACGATGTTGGTGTCCGACAGGGTTGTCCAACGTGAGTAGCGCCAGCTCGAGCAGCGGAGGATCCTACCGGAGTGTGGGGCGAGGCAAGCTGGGGCGGCCCATAGCGGTGTACTCAACCAAGCGCCTCCCGCCGGGCAAGAAGGTAAGGTACACGGTAAGTACTCGGTATCATCCCCCTTAATAATAATAATATTATTACTATTATTATTATTGTTATTATTATTATTATTATTATTATTATTATTATTATTATTATTATTATTATTATTATTATTAAACACAATATATTATGGAATAATTTCTTATATGTCCAAAGTTTTTACCGTCCATAATTTTCCTTTTGTTTTGTTTTATTGACTGCATTTTATGTAATAGTAATTGACCTGTTTCCAGCCGTGTCTCCTGGTGGTAAATAACACAGTGATGACCTCCACTGGGGTTTAACATAGTCTGGTCCATATTACAAACTGATCCATTGTTTGATAATTGACGCAGTGTTGAATAGTTAGTACTGTACTGTATTCTCTAAATTCTAAACTATCTGTACGTGAACCAGGATTATACTCAACACCAAGTAAATCCTTATTAACAAAAAGAAAAACGATGACCACTTTTCAAACAATATTTTCCCATTAAAAATCTTAAGAATTACAATTATACAATAGATAATGCAACAACAATTAGAAAGATGAAGTACAAAAAAAAATAGGCCTCGAAAACGTACATAAAAATAGTTTTAAAATTCCCTCCCAAAAAGTTAAATCCTGGAGAGAAGTTAACAGTCCGCCTGGTGAAGCCGTCACAAGGCTACGACCGACAGCCCCGGCTCACCCATATGGAGAACCTCAACGCTCCTGATGGCAAAAGAAAATAACCCCACAGCCACCCACCATACCATAACACTGCCCGACATAGAATTCATGCCACTCAAGGGAAGAAAGAATGGGAATTTGGGAGACGACAGAGCAGACAGTTATGGCATCGTCTCTACACCCACTAACAAAGGGAGAGAACTTGAGTAGAAAAACAAAATTTTAAGAGTAAGAAACAGACAAGAGGAGCTGTGGGAGGTAGAGGCTGCTCACACCTCACTCTGGTAAAGGACCAGCCCATCACCACACCAAGGGTTAATTTTTATTCTGGTCTGGTTTATGTGAGTTACTATATTAAGACGTGATAGTGAATTCTAAGCAATGCTGTTTGGTACCAATCCTCTACCAACCTTCTGATACCACATCTTGTTACTTACCAACTTTTCTTCATTCATATCAATATTATTATGGCAACGCATTTTGGTAAGATTCTTAGCTATACGCACCAATACCTATGTGGCTACGTATACTTATTAACAGACAAAATATATCAGTACTGCCAAGGCCTCACTCTGACATACACCAGTATTATGACAGCCAAATATCATTAGTTTATGACAAATATTCTTAGTATTGGAAACATTATCTTGAAATACTTACTTACACATAACAAAGACTCATTATCTTAGGCTTTTGTCGGGTTAACTTAACACTTCTAAGTAAAATTCTACTACAGTCATTTACAAGATAATATGGTCTTATCTGTAGCAACCTTACAGAAGAAGTTAAAAGAGAGACTAAAGTAGTACCGAACTTAAGATATAATTGTAAGTGACCAAGATACTGTTTGGTGGTGGGAGAGTGACACTTCCCTACAACTATTTTAGAGTATATTATCTGCCATATACACCGGGTAAAATATCAGACTCCGCTTATTTTCACCACTTCGTACAACCTGTGAAATATGGACCAGTTTATGATGCGGTTGTGCCCCAGGGAACACCTATTTCATGTTTCATCTGTAAGGCGGCGCATATCCCGAGTCGTCAATTATATTAATATACTGTAGACATGTGGAGAAGCGTCGCCAGAACACTGTCTATCAAAAATAAAAGTTACAATCTCTGATATTGTTGGTGTGCTTAAATTAACAAAATTTTATTGTTATTAAGTATGTTTAAACTAGAAGAATTATGAATTAATCCTGGAACAGAGTTAAATAGTTTCAAGTATCAGTAAGACTCACCGGTATTACTACAGTACTGCAGGGCATTATTATCTTAGTATATATTAGGCATATCCCACTATAGTAGTAAAAATATTATAAATAAAATATTAATCTTTGATATAAATTACTATCATTACTTGTACATACAGTAGAACTTAGCAATAATGTCCTGAACACTGCAACAATAACTGCATGTATGATATATATTATAGTGACCCTCTCCTCCTAGACAACAAGTATGGTTTTCTATAACAGGTGTCGAGCAAGAGTGGAGCACGCAGCAAGGAGCCGCTGAAGGGGGGACTACCACAAATTAGAATTGACGAGTACCAGGAGCCCCCGTGTCGGCCTCCACCCATCTCCCGTCCGCCTCGGGTTCACATTAGAGAGAATAAGGTGGCCCCTCAGGTGAATAGGGAATATGTGCTTCACAAACACTTTACTTTACAGGATACTCTAATCAGATCATGGCCCACATATCAAAGTCACAGAGCTTTACAAAAATATAAATATATCTTAAATGAAAATGCATTACACTCTGACGTTATCTAAACAGAAAGAGAATTTGCTTATAAATCGTCATTTTGTGCATAATTACAGCATATATCAGTCTGTTTAATTTTATGCAGGTAAATAATGATTGGGCTGAATAAAATAATTTCTATACAAATCTGGATTTACAATTCCGTTCTTGTATTGGTTAATATGTTGAAGAATGTTGATTGGTGACTTTTAACCTCGCGACTCTTAAATAACATAGAGAATAATTCTATATAAACTTAAACTAACCCAGTCCAACACTACACGTGGGAGACGCCCCTTGAGCTGGTACCCAAAGAGTATTGAGACAGAACAGGTTCCATTGCGCGCTCTTAAGCAGTTTAGAGAATCGTTACTGACGAGCGTAAGTCATTTTAGATTAAGCTCTACAAATGCATGGCTGGTTGATGTTTACCGCTGAACCAGAAAACCAAACTACACATCAACACTCGCACCCGCAGCCGCTGTAGACGACATGTTATCAAGTGTACATTGAGGGGTTCTCCTAAAGTCTGAAAACCAACTAAGAGGAAAAATACCAAATGAACATAATGAAAAGCCTTAACCAGTGTCATTGTTCCTGTTCTGGGGATATACCTCTTACGTGTGGATATAAATGAAAGTTTTATATCAAAGTTTTCTTTTTCCTTTTCAACACAGTCATTAAATGCATCTCATAATGTGTTGAGAATGATTGTCTGTTTTATATTTACTGGAAAAAGATAAAACAACAAAGATAAATAAGAAATGTATCTTTAGAACATGAATACAGGAATTGTTTAAGGCTCCTTCACTTAAGTTTAAATCGTTTAATTGATTTTCGGATTTCAGAAGAACCGTGTATATAGTAGTGAAAGCTTGAGTAGTTTACATTCCATTAATTTAAAGTACTCCATTTGTAGTGTGAATGTGAGGCAATGCCCAGGGTTGTTAATGGAGATGTTCGCGCACCATCCAGAATGTAGCTTGGGCCTTGATCAGCATGTCAGCGGCACCACCTCAACACCTCCCACCAGCTGAGGCGGGAAGTCTAAGAGTCCACTTGTTACACGAAGAAATGTACCACCCAAACAAAACCTGTATTTTAAACGGTTACAATATAAGTCCGCTGTTTTGTGATTATTATTCGATTTGTTGTGTGGCCGAGTCCTTGCTAGTAAGCAAACCCTGTACTATAACAATTGCCTCCCTCTAGCATTGACCTGGTCCTCCGGGCTCACGTTCTCGCGTAGTCGCCCCCTCACCCGTGAGAATGAAAGCTTTGGTATAACGAGGCTCGCTTGCATGCCTAGAACCTTTTGTGTTTTCTCATGAAAGTCATAATCACCGATAATGTCAATAGCTAATAATTCATTCATTAAATCGATTTTCATATCAATTTTTAGTAGTGCATGAGTGTGTGTGTTCTACGTGTGTGTTATCTATGTGTTGGGTCGTGACTGAGTTGATGTGTTGCAGGAGACCCTGGGGAGACTACCCACCATCAAGGAGTACACGGAGTTCATCACCGAGAAGGAGCTGGAGAAGGAGAAATCATCCTCCACCAGAATAAGGTACAGTCTGACCCCCTCCCCTCCCCACCCATAGCGTCTAGTTTGTCCAGTTTTGTCAACAATTTAGTCCAGCAGGCCAGTTTGTTTCCAGATGACAGAGGCCAAGCATTTCCCTTTTGTTCTCTCACGTACACTAATGTTTTATTTAAGACATTTATTTTTTGTAATCTATTGATATGGTGTACATACAAATTACGGGTACTCCAGAACTCATACAATATATCATCATATATTTGCACAGTTATTCACTAAAGTTTGCTCAGTTGCTCAACCAACTCTCCTTGTGGCCTATGCAGGGCTTTGTAAGAGAATGGAAGGCGAGGGGGAGAGTGAGAGGGGTAACTGCAGCAAACCGTATCATCATCTCTGGGTTGTGGAGAACTCTTGAGTCTACCAAAGAGTTAAGTGATTGGTGGGGGCAATTCAGTGTTCAGTGTTGGAAGATATATACATATATATATATATATATATTAAACCTCTACACTACCTCTGTGACAACTTCCATTAATACTGCTTGTGTGCGCTCAACTTACCGGCTCATGTTTGTCGTGTGTCACATCTTGTGTAGGTTACAGATTGATGCACAGTATATTTCAGTGTCCATAATCTTGTCAATATCACTTTCAGGAGACAAGTACCACTCTTATCTTGAGAGCTTATAACTCCCAGACGTAGCTAGAACTGAGACATCAGATGAGGAACCTTTTATTTATTTTTTTTTTTTGGTGTGATTATAGGCTCTGAACAAAGGGGTATTCTGCAGCAGTCACGACGAGTCAACACCAAACAGGGAGCCTTATCCTTGACCTACAATACCAGGAATATTTATCCTTTATATCAATCACAACAACCAACAGACGGAAAACTTTCCATCCTAGCTCAATATAATAAAAAATCGGCCCACCTGAAGATTAGGCACCCTAGCTTAATTTTTCTTAATAATCAAACACCTTCCTAACCTAACCTAACCTACCCCTCCCAGGTAGCGTTAGAGTGTTTAATCATCTAGTGAAATAATCTGAGGTGCCTAACCTTCACGTGATCCTTAAAAAAAAAAGAAGAGTACTCGAACTTTTTTACATGATAAAATTTTGGATAAACTTTATTAACCAAAATTTTCTCATTTTTACGAGAATTTTTTACCTTTTTTCGTATAGATGTAATAACTCCTGAACCTGGGCTGGATATTCAAAGGTTCTTACGTTATATTTTTCATCTTAACTGGAGACATAAGAACGTATCTAACTTACCAACTTAAACCTAAAATACAGAAAGAACGTCTCAAACAACAGCAACCGAAAATAACACCGAGATTCAACCTTAAAACTAAGATACGTTCTCTTAATACCAGTCAGGAGACAAAAACATCAACGTATAGAATCACCTTTGAGAATCCTGTAACCTGTCCCATAGTAAAGTACTCAGAGTTAAGATAATCGCGTTGAAGCTGCAGAATTACCTTTACAACTTGTCCACTCTCAAAAGATAATCTTCCGATCCGTGGCATGAGCATGAGATTCTTATACCATTCTTAAGGTCTACTGTACCGCCACCACTCACAGCATGACGCAGGCTTTCGTGCCACTCCCGCAAGATGGACACTGTTGGATAAAGTACCACGAACGGGACCACTGAGCTATATGTTTTTTGTTTTTGTTTTTTATGACGAGATCTAACCCACAATAATCTAACTTTGCTAAAATCAAAATTTACCCTAGGATCGTTAGGTTAGGTTAGGTTAGATTCGGTTCGTCTGCTTAAAAAAACAATACTAGAAAAAGATTAGTCGTCCAGTTCGCGGTCCTTTTTCCAACACTGGTCGTCTGGCGCCACTCCCCCTTCCAATATTCATCAACGTTCTTCTAAAAACCACTGTAGAACCTGTCACTCTTAAGAAATGCACTTTTTTAAGATAACTGGAATTACATTGTGTTGTTTAATTGTGATAATACTGTCTAAAACTCACACCTGATGCACATATTAACACAATATTTTATTTCTAATTGATACTTTTTAAAATTCTGATATACATGTCACTATGTTTTTTTGTTTCTTGTCAGCGTTTCCCCGCACATTAAAAAAATAAAAAAAGTCAAATCAGTGTCTTTAGTATCATCAATATTGATCTTTGAAAACCGATAAAACACATCGAAACATTAACTTAACATTGAAGGTTAGTTATAGTTACCTTAACAATAGACGTAACATGTATTATGTTAATGGTACCCCAAGAGATCGTGTGTTGTTGAGTAATTCCTAAGTCAACAGACAGAGTTATGGTTTTGTTCCCAATGAACAGCGTCAAGCAGTGAATGTACACATGCTGTCACTGCTGCACCACGCCACAACTAACTCTGTGTTTCTCGTCCAGGTGTGCCCAAAAATTGGTGAGCCAGATCGAGCACCATCATGGAGTGCCTCCACGGGTCCGAAGCCCCAAGGCCTCGTCTTCTTCGCCTTCCCCGTCTCCGGCCAGGTCCCCTACTGCCATGGCCGCAGCCGCAGCAGCTACGGCTGTCGCGGCTGCTGCAGGAGGTAGTGGGGCCTCAATGAATAGCCTGCATGCTCGGGCTCTGTCCAGGTCCCCGTCAACGTCGCCGTCAGGAGCGTCCAGCACCAGGAGTACCCCCGACAAGAAGAACCACAGCAGTATGAGCCGGAGAGAATCGTCCAGCTCTGCAGCCTCACTCAAAAGTAACCTCTCCGTGGCCAGCAGCGCCTCCGTCAGAAGTAGTTCCTCCGTGCACAGTAACTCCTCCTACAAGAGTGCCTCCTCCGTCAAGAGCATCACTTCCGCCAAGAGTGGAGTCTCTGTCAAGAGCGGAATGTCCACCAAAAGTTCAGCGTCGACGAGAAGCAGCACGTCCACTAAGAGCACCACGTCGGGCAAGAGCACAGGCACTGTCAAGTCGGTCAAGTCTGTCAAGTCGGTCAAGTCGACCAACTCAAAGAAGAAAGAACCAGAGAGTAAAGGAGTGAGAAGAAAGGATATTTGTGATAAGAAAACAGAGACAAATGACAAGAGAGTAAAGCAGACAAAGGGTGAGAGTAAGATCAAGGCGTTGAAGAAAAGGTTTGAGGGCAAAGAATATCAAAGACTACAGTAAGTTAAGACTGCACATAACGTGGTGGAGAGGTGTTGCTCTTTGCAAAACTCTGGTATAAATGCTGGTTATGTTTACTGTCCGAAGAGTGAGTAATGATAGTGTTTCATTCTACTGCCCGTCTTCCAGGGGCACCGACCGTGCACGTGCTGCCGTCTGGGCTCGTTCGTATACAGTCAAACCCGCCAAATTCGTCGGCAATAAAGGCCACTCTTAGTGTAGGCATTGCAATACATATCTTTATCGTTGGTGTGTTCGTTAGAAATGCATTATAAGGAAAGTGGGTTCCCACTTGCACTCTTCTCCTCCTCTGCCATGACCTCTGGTGGTGAGGTGGACAAGGTTCTCCCCCAGGAGTGGCTGACACTCACTCCCAGAGTATCATGGACAATAACAGACACTTACGGTGACTGTTGCAATAATTCAGATGGATGATTACGAGTTAAAACAACATATTTTTGCAACAAACTATGGTGCAGTTACATGAACAAGACGCTGGAGTAGTGTCGAGAATCGTAAAGTTAGTGAAATGGATGAAGCGTAGCCCTGCAAGGGGTCACTGAATAGTTCTTCCATTTGTATGGACTGGCCCGCACCAATGGCCTTCATGGTGATACGGAACATAGAGAGACCTACCGTCGTCCAGCCAGGCAATACAGTAGCCTTGTATATGTAGATAGGCTGAGAGTAAACTAGCTAGATTCATATGTTATTCGGAAGGAGACTTCACAATGTTGTAATGCTGGCTTTTGCCTCCTGAGAGTCAGCCCATGATGCCATCAGCAGCCGGCCGCCTCCCTGCCAACCCCTGGCAGGACGTGACCGCCACTAGTACCAGCTCAACTCCACGGTACTTGCTGGATCACAGTGTGTGACAACAGGCGGGTTTTGGCGGCAGGAGAAAGAGGCGTCCGCTGCCTCTGTCTACGTGAGTCCCAAATTATTTTATTATTATACGTACATATACAGTACATATGATTAATTCACTCTTTATTTACAAAATTAACGACTAATACTGGTTTCTTCTTGAAAACTATATGATGATGTTTCGTTCATTAATCTATGGTCTGAATTCATTGGATACACTAGACGTAAACACACTGGTGACGGCGGCTGCTGCTCTTCTGTTTGCCGCCACAACCCGTCTTTGGCACCATAAAGTGTTGCCATCCATGTGGCTACCAGATACGCCATGAGTTACAAAGTTACACTCCTTCCATTAGATGTAAGATCAAGATTTTCTGTAATAGGACTTCCAGGTAATGTTCTTTCTCGAGTTCTTCATTAACTTATGCTCTTGTTTACTATTTCCAACATGAAAACGATTTAGCCTACAGCATTTCTTCTATCGTTTGGATCCCTTAAGTTGCTTTTTTATACCCAGTTGCATACTTCAACATTGTAAACTCAAGGATGGAGGTATTGCTAAAGTATTACGTAAACTTAGTCAACATTTTAGCCATTCAGTCCAAGTTGCCAGACACCACCCGCGACACTAATAGCCTCCTCTCGCCTCTACACTGGAACACCTTGCTCGGCCTCAAGACCTCTGGACACGCCCCTCGAGTATCAGCAGCTCGGGTGGTGACTGGTACTTTGGGCTTTAGAGTGAAATATATAGATAAAAATGTACAAGTAGAAGTACACTCCGACTGTCTCACGGCCGCCATGGTTCCAAGGCTCCTGGTGGTTGGGGGAGACAAAAGAAGAGTCAGTAATGGGTTGAGTGACATAGATATCAGACGACAAGAGTCATAACGTCCACCCAGGCAGCCTCAGGGATTAATGGCGGCTCACTGGAGGAGGTCGGAGGTATTAGCTCAAATACTTAGTACTTGTAAGTTTCACTCGTTTTTTAAAACTACGATTTGAATCATCTTCATCGAAACGCATTTGTACCTTGGCCAAATTGTAGTGATTTTTCAAGATAAACATTTATATTTACTACCCTTGTCGCCGCGGGCAGCCCCAATGTTAGTGTTCTTTGTTTACCAGGACCCACAGAGGACTTGGCTGTGTAGGACAGTCGTCACTGGCTGCCCCACGCCGCGCCCTTGAGGGAGACCTTGTGTACGAGTTGGCCTTCACCTTCTTGGTTGCTCGCCATTGTCAAGGAAGGTTCTCACTAGTGGCTGTCTGGGACTTTCAGGGAATCATTTACAGTCCTGCACCATGAGCTGTCAGGATGAGGTAATAATGTGACCAGGAAAGGAATATTGAAATAATCTTTACTGTACAATGATATACTTGTCAAAGAAAATTGCTGCGGACAATCACTAAAGTTTGAAAGGATTCGTCAATCACTTATAACACCTGGACGGTCATATGTGTCCAGGTGGTTGACATGAAAACAACGGGGAGGGGCGTTAGTAGTGATGCTGTCACGTAGCAGCGAACGATTTGCCGCGTCTTAATAATCCGGCTGTTAGTCACGCACCCTCGGCGTCACAGTACCCTCGGCGTCACGGTACCCTCAGGAAATAGTCAGTCCCTCCTGAACAACGTCTAGTTAACTGCTGCTCCACCATAGTAAACGTCAGTCACCCGCGGCCAGATTTACTCCCCGACACCTGCCAGCAGCTCGGTGGCTGTCAGTACCTCTCTCATCCTCTACTTATAATCAAACAGTCTCGGGACCTCGTTGTTGTGAAGAGCCTCAGCTGATCCGGCCGCTGGTGTGTGTTGTAAGTCTCACATAAGAAGAAACGTCCCGTGAGGAAGAGTTGTTTGTCCTCACGACTTCCACAAGACTTTATGAATTAATTGTCAGGATTACAATATTTCCTGTAAAAAATAATGAACTATAAAATATATTTTGGACTGACGACGTTGAACATTTATCTCAACTTTCATTGTTAGTACAGTACAATACAGTACAGTACAGTGCAGTACAGTACAGTACAGTACAGTACAGTACATAAATATATACCTGCAGTACTTTCTGGTTGTGTAAAATGTCATCACATGTAAGACTGACGACCATCGTACATTAGTTGTGTCCGGGGCTCCACCTGTTGCTGTCCCGCGCCATCACTGGGGTCACGTCCTTGTTACACCAGGCACTAGAGGTGCGTAATCTTGCCAAGTGTGACCCGAGTAGAGAGACACTGTAAATCAATTTGTACTGGACTTTCTGGAGGGAGTCACTGAGAGCTAGCATATTCGAATCCAAGCGTAGTTAAAAATCTGGAGAGTCGGCTTGAGCGTTCACCTTCAGCCCAAGGGGTCGCCGATGACTTTACACTCTGGTTCGACAGCTGTGTTTACCCTGCCATCACCTGTCTTCTGTGGCCCAGACCTTGTTGATCTGGTAAAGTTGTCTGTCAGTGTCTAGAGATTGATTGGCTCTCCAGACTAACAACATTGGTTCATCAACAAGGTTCTCATCATGTTGAAACTCAGATTAATCCCCTGTTTAGAGAATCGGGTGGAACCGTCGGCTGGAAAAAAGGATGAAAGACCTGCCTTCTGTATACCGCTAACTCCATGTTCTGTATTTTGTCTTGAGATATTGGGCGAGTCTCAGAAGTTGGTGCCAGTCATTATTTATTTATTACACTGTGACTTACTCTAAGTTATCTCAAACGAAACGTAATCTAACCGAATTCAAGTTAACTAAATCAGCAGTGTTGAAAAAAATCAGGGTTCGGATCTAGGTTCAGTTCCGGATTTGGTTCCGACTTTTTGGATCGTGGAACTTTTTTGCCTTAGTTTGCTCTGTACTGTACACTCACCAACAAAAACCCTGTCGCCTCATCTGCCTGTCCATGAACCCAGAGATTCAGAGACCTCGCAGTTCTCTGAATCTCGTTTCATGAAGAGGCAGGTAAGGCGAGAGAATTTTTGTTATCGAGTGTACCTGTCTCTCTTGACGTGACTGAAAATGATCTTACCACACAAGAAACTCATTTTTTTTTTAAAGTGCATCTCAAAGTAGCGTTTAGATTGTGTCTCGAACAGCTGAACACTCCACCACTGATCTCACCAATGTTAAACAAAATTCTTACATCTTAGATATTCATTTCTGGAGGTATTTGGTGTTTCTGCTTACACGAGGAAGAACTACTGAATTATTTTACCTTTATGAATCTTGTTCTCGTTGTGTCTGGTGTAACATGGACGGAGCTGCTACATCACCCTTCTATACCCACGACCTAGCCTTCATAGGTGTCAGGGATAACGTCACCATTACCTTCCAATACTTGTCTCTTGCTCCTCACAACTGGGATAACTTTTTAACTGGTTTTCCTTCAATCCTCGAGTCTGTTCACTATTTTATTCCTACCAAGTCATCTGCTGTATTATTTAGGGATTGTCCTGACTTTTGTCGTTATCATCGTCTATCGTTGGTGGACACGTCATTATCGCTGTTGGGTGTGGTGGTGGTGGTGGTGGGATAACTGACGTAAAAGTATATCTCGTGTTGGGGGAGTCAGACCTGTTCCTTGGGGCTGGTCCTGTGAGGTTACTTCTATATATATATAAAGGTTTTTCTATCGTTTTAAATACTCCCGTGGTGAATTTTCTTAAGTGGCCCTTGTAAGTTATTATATAGAATCTTGGAGTTAAATTTTAGATTCCACTCCCTGTCAGATGTCTTTGCTACGCCCGTAAGATGTGTGTGAGTTTGATGCGCTTTTTGTTTTCTGTTGTCTCGGTTATTGATGCTTCTTTTGCTACGTGCGTTTTATTTTGTTTTATTTTGTTTTTTAATGGAGAAGCCGAGCTGTTTGGACTTTACAAAATATCTAAGAGTATTTTTTGGGGGTTAATTCTGGTTTGTTTATGGAGTGTGAGAGGCTGCCAGAAGAAGAGTGATCGAAGAACTAGTTTACGGGACGTCTTTTCTTCAGCCATTTGGTTCAGTTCCTAATGATATGTTTCTGAGGTTGCAAGGTGAGCATGCATTATGTTAACTGTTATAACTTAGTAATGCTTGGCTTCACTTATAGGAGCATTTATGTTGCAACTTCTATTTATTTTTGGCTTCATCAACTGCTTTCTTTGCTACGTCTGCAAAGGTAGTTTGTTATTTGCTCTTGGCTTCTTCTTTCTTTCTTTCTTGTTATTGCCTTTATTATTTATGATTTCTCTTTATTTCTTCTATCTATGGGTGTGGCATGGCTACTGTCCTGTGTGTGTGTGTGTCATGTAGCGCCTCAAGTTGCGTACAGTTAAATCTTGCAACTAAGGCCACAAACAGAGCCTTCAGGGTAGTGCAGTACCTCGTCAGGGTAGTGCAGTACCTCGTCAGGGTTCCTTCAGCCAGGTGAGTACACTGACTCTCTTTAATATCAACTCAGGTGTAAACTATCTTGCTGAAAACCAATATTCATGTTATAACGCATCTCTGTTATGACCGTCTCCTACAGCCTTCGTTTCTTGGCCTGGGTAAAGACTTGTTTATCGTCGTCTCTTACGGAATATTTCACCCAGTGGCTCTTGTCTCAGTCTTCCTGCGGGATCTTTAATTTCGTGTTAGGTTCGTCTTGTTATGTTACCACACCTCCATCTCTACTAATATGACAATGAGGATCACGGCCTTATAATATATATACTGCTTTTCATTCCTTCATTAAAATCTTGTCAACAACATAGTTCTCTCACTTGTTGTGTGTCCGGCCTCGAGTACCTCCAGGTGACCGAGGTACTCTGTTTTATGGCACAGTTGATGCATTGATGGAGTTTGGTGGTGATGGTTGTGTGAGGTGGAGGTGGTGGTGGTGGTGGTGGTGGTGATGGTTGCATGTGGTGGTGGTGGTGGTGTTGGTGGTAGTTGTGTGATTTGGTTGTGTTGGTGGTAGTTGTGTTAGGTGGTGAGGCCCAGGTGATGTTGTTATGAATATCTGAACACTTTCCTGGGCCTCTCCTGACAACTCTGTACAGTACTGGGGACACACTGAGAGGCATAAGTGCTAGGGACACACTGAGAGGCATAAGTGCTAGGGACACACTGAGAGGCATAAGTACTAGGGACACACTGAGAGGCATAAGTACTAGGGAGTCAGTGAGAGGCATAAGTACTAGGGAGTCAGTGAGAGGCATAAGTACTAGGGACACACTGAGAGGCATAAGTGCTAGAGACACGCTGAGAGGCATAAGTACTAGGGAGTCACAGAGCCATAACACCAGGTGGCCGTTCTCGATGATATGGTCTACTCTACCCTGACAGCTACAGCTCCTCCTTGATGATCGTGTATGGGACAAATTCTCCATCGTTGGCCCCAGGTCGTTCAGTCTTCGTTACCGCTTAAGTGTACCGACGTAGGAGAACTGCTGGACAGGGAACATATAAGACATAAGGAGAGCGATAGAGGCCTCATGTGTCGTCATCTTCTGGTCTCGTCAAGGGTGGCAGGAGGCAGGATCTTTGCTTTCTCTTTCGAGGTTTTGTTGAAGGTTACTGAAGATTTGCCACGATGTTGATGGCTCATTTAGCAGTCCTTAGACATTCTAGTTTCTTGTTGACTTCAGAAACACGTATCTCAAATTTATTCATCCATGTACGTATTTAGTTGGATATCCCGGGCCAGGCGAGGTGTATCATAAAACCCCATTGGAGAAAACGTGGAGACAATCACTGCCACGAACTGCAGCCCCGGCGCGTCTTCTGTAGTGAGTCCTCGGGAGAATGAGAGGTCAGAAAATAAAAAACCCGCCAGTCTCAGAATCCCTATTGGCGCTCCACGGTATTAAAGTATCAATGTACCTCCTGAAGTAACTTAATGGGCTCTCACCTGGACACGTCAACCAGGGTGTGACCTCTAGAACCAAGTGACCATGATGTAACGGAGGATAAAAGAATGACACAGTAAAGTAACAACCAGCGTAATGTTGCATTAAGGTCGTTCTGTATACTAGAACATTACGTGGAGATAACCTTTAAATGAACGTCTCCTGTCACATTACTGAACGTCTCCAGTGTTTATTGATCGTTTCCAATCACTCTACCGAACGTCCCCAGCCTCTATCGAACGTCCCCAGTCTCTTTTGAACGTCTCCAGTCTCTTTTGAACGTCTCCAATCACATTATTGAACGTCTCCAGTCACATTATTGAACGTCTCCAGTCTCTTTTGAACGTCTCCAATCACATTATTGAACGTCTCCAGTCACATTATCGAACGTCTCCAGTCTCTTTTGAACGTCTCCAATCACATTATTGAACGTCTCCAGTCTTTACCGAACGTCTCCAGTCACTCCATATCAAGTGTCGTTATCATCATATCCCACAGAAACTTAAAAATACCTTCAGTCAACACAGGGCATTAATCACCTCCTCCCACCAGCCAGTTCCTTAGAGAGGGTCATCGTGCCAGTGACCGACTACAACCACCAGACGCCACAGTCCACTAATGAAGTCTTCCCTTGACTTACTTTCAGCTTTTCTTTTTTTTTAACATTCATTTCTTAAGCCATTTTAACTTAAATTTCATGTACGATGCAAATACTATAACGTCTCATAGCTCCCACACCCTTATGTCTTCCTATGCCTACTACATTATCTGTCTAATCCATATTTATATTTAATAAAACTATAAAATAATATAAATTACAACTCACTGTTTTTTTTTAATACCGAGGACACGTTAACACCTTCCCCCCAGGACCCTTTAATTACTTACCTTAATCAGAAAAAAAGAAAGAAAAAAAAAAAAACATCGATAAATTCTACGTTTCCACACCTTGCACGTTTAAGTTCACCTGTAATTAGTAATGGGTTTAAACAAAGATGGTGGGTGTGTGACTATGAAGGTTCTCAAGATTATCTAAAGGAATGGTCCAGGTGTGTACTAATGTTTACTTTACTAATTAATGGGTTAAACATCTCACAGTTACCAATCTAATGAGGTAAAATCACCTCTAACAATCATTCTAACAACATCTACTCACCCTAACAATCATTCTAACAACATCTACTCACTCTAACAATCATTCTAACAACATCTACTCACCCTAACAACCATTCTAACAACATCTAATCACCCTAACAACTATTCTAACAAAAAACTCACCCTAAAAATTATGTCAACTCAACCAGACACAGAGAGAGAGAGAGAGAGAGAATATTAAACAGGTAATTACACAAAAAAATCGATTCCTTTATGTTCATTAGCTGACACAGGTAAGAACTCTTAATTAATTGTCTCCTTTACGTCACTACCACGTGCTCAGGTGATGACAACTATTACCATGATAAGTAACATGAATGGTTTAATTACGTCAGAGAAAATACAGAAAATTTCCGATGACTTTCAGATTTGTACCCCAGTTTATTTCACCTGATGACTCAACACCCTAACGCTAACCTAACCTAACCCTCTCCCAGGTAGCATGAGAATGTTTAATTACTATACAACATCAGGTAAAATAAGCTAGTGGTACCTATAGTGTTCATGTGTTCAAATTAACCACGAACAACACAGCTCTCATGGTACAAAGTTGTTCATGAAATATAACACAGAAAGTTCATTATTAAAAGACACGAGAGGAAAAAATATATAACCACAGATGACCCTGAACTTTAATTCTGTCAATATCCTGTCTGTCCACATCCGGCCTGTCTACATCCGGTCTGCCTGTAGTATAATATTCACAAACAGACGGATATCCAACTATATAATAATTCTTTCTCACTTTGAATTAATGTCGAACAATAAATTCTAATAATTTTCTTACTTAATTTGCTTATTTTATTTATTTTGTCTTCTTTACTATTTCTTCCTTTATTATGTCTTCCTTCTTTACATATTTATTCCTATTCTACATATAACCATCTATCGTAAGGAGTAATGTTTTTTTTCATATATGGTAACACTGAAATAACTCACTCCATGTGTAATTGAAAGCTATAAAAAAAAAGTCTCACCTGCAACTCATTAAAGTCTACCTACCTCTTACCTTTAATTATCTCCTTCAGGTACATCAAGGAGTTACACAAACCTCATAGTGAAGGAAGGGAATGATAGTGAGGAGTTACACAAGACAAGTGAGAGGAAACTGTCACAACTAATAGAAACAAACACACATAGGCCTATATGTTATTTGTTTAGGCCTATATAAGAACATAAGAGTGGAGGAAACTGCCACAACAAATAGAAACAAACATACATAGGCCTATATATTATTAGCTTAGGCCTATATAAGAACATAAGAGTGGAGGAAACTGTAGCGGGCAGTCTCATTTACACCCAACCCCTATTGCTCATATATCCATCCAACCTATGTTTGAAGCTATCCAGCGTATTCGAGTTAATGATGATATTTGGTAACTTGTTCCAGTCATCCACTACTCTGTTTCCAAACCAGTGTTTACCTATTTTGCGCCTAAAATTTAAATTTGTCTAATTTAAAACCATTGTTACGAGTTCGCTCCTGGTTGGATAGTTTGAGTACCATTGTAGTGTCCCCTTTGTTCAGCCCTGACTTCCATTTATACACCTCTATCATATCGCCCCTCACTCTACGTCTCTCGAGGGAGTGCAAATTAAGATGCTTTAACCTGTCTCTGTACTCAAGGTTCCTTATGCCCGGGTTGATTAAAATCCTCTAACACTATCTGGGGATAAGGTTAGATTGGGTTAGATTAGGTTAGGTTAGGGTTAGGTTCGTTAATCCTAATTTGAAATAAGATGGAGGGCTAATCTTCAAGTAATCCCATTAACATGTCCGAAATATACATACTTCCTGGAGGCATCACATTACTAACATCACCTGTGTCTGTACTCGAGGTTCTTAATCCCGGGCATCAGGAACCTTGAGTACAGAGACAGGTTAAAGCATCTTAATTTGCACTCCCTCGAGAGACGTAGAGTGAGGGGCGATATGATAGAGGCGTATAAATGGAAGTCAGGGCTAAACAAAAGTGATATAACAATGGTACTCAAACTATCCAACCAGGAGCGAACTCGTAACAATGGTTTTACATTAGACAAATTTAGATTTAGGCGCGAAATAGGTAAACATTGGTTTGGAAACAGAGTAGTGGACGACTGGAAAAAATTACCAAATATCATCATTAACTCGAATACGCTGGATGGCTTCAAACATAGGTTGGATGGATATATGAGCAATGGGGGTTGGGTGTAAATGGGACTGCCCAGTATGGACCAATAGGCCCGCTGCAGTTTCCTCCATTCTTATGTTCTTGTCACATGACCAAGAGCATAATACCAACATCACATGATCAACACAGGAAGATCAAGCCTGAAATTTGCTCTCCTCTTACTCTCAGCTCCACACAAGATCATACGAGTATTGGATCCCTTTACTTCCGTTCCCTTCACGCTGCACCACCACACCCTGTTGCAGACGTGAACTACTCAACACATCCTGCAACCCTACATACACTATGTCTTTTAATTAAGGAAACAAGACTTAATGACATAAGGTTTCACAAGAATACCTTTATGGAGGCTTTGGATGACCAATACACCAATTAGGAGATAAAAATGAAAGCAAAATCTCACAATAGTCCAGGGTAGACGAATGATTCTGACGGAGCCGCGAAGGAGAGAGGCTGGTAGGTGGTGATGGAGGAGAGTGATGTACAGGGTGTCTCATAGCTCACACACCATCACATAGTTAATTATCTTCTTTTATCATCTTATTCAGGTGAAAGAATCATAATAAATCAACAAAGATGGCTGAGAAAATGAAGGAAAGATTCAGTTAAATATTCATGAAGGGAGAGGTAGATCATGCCCATCGATCAGTTACACAATAATTTACTCTACACCATTCATCATAATACCTGGATGTTGTAGATTAAATCCCTTGGTATGATGAGCCTTTAACTTTCCGTACATGAATATTAAACTGAATCTTTCCTTGATTTTCTCAGCCATCATCGCTGATTTATTATAATTCTTTCACCATAATAAAAACAAACACATTAACTGCCTTATGGTGCTCGAGTTAAGGACGACCTAACACAGGAGTGAGACATCATCTTCAGTTACCATTGACAACAACCAACTGCTTGTACAGTGGACTCCAACACCAGGACGAGGTACAGCAGCCTACCTACTGTACTACTGCAGTCAGACCCAGGAGAGGTTCCGGTACAGCGGCCGGCAACCTTTACATAATATTCGGCTAATTCACTATCAAGAAATCAGTAATTGGCCTCAACCATCGAATAGGATAATTATGCAGTATATATCAAATTAAGTTGATTAAAAAAAATGAAATATTAAACTGAGCTTCGGAAAAGTAGAACTAAACCATTATTCAGGTCAGTACAGGTATAGAGAACCAACATTTAACAGACCTAATAGTTGGCAATAAATATTAATGGTCTAGTGTCGGGTAACTGAACCAGGGATCCCGAACCTCCAGGGGGTACATGAAGCCTCACCAGGGGTCCACCACATACTCCACATTTGGAGGAGCCAAAGGTATAATGGGCGTATACAGAATATGCTATACGTAATTTATTAAAGACATACAGAAAAAAATGACACTACTGAGAGAAGCTGCTGTACATGCCATCTCGTAGGGGAAACTCACACATAAATCTTACCTAACTTAACCAACTCAAACATAAGGTATCCTAATTTAACTTCACCTTAATTTATCTTACCTAAAATACATTAACCTAAAGAAAGTGGGTCCCATAGGACATGACTGCGTGTTAGGGGCAGTGTGGATACAGCACACTGTATACCAAGTCTTCGGTACATATCTAACCTCATCTAAAGCAAGATAACTTTAACTAACCTAACCTAACCCAACACTAACCTAACCTAACCTAACCTAACACTAACCTAACCTAACACTAACCTAACCTAACACTAACCTAACCTAACCCAACCTAAACCTAACTGGGTGTAGACCTTCTTTCACCCATCAGTCCCTCTCAAGTCTCAACATAGAAATAATAATGTTAATGAAGTTCAATGTTAATCAGAACACCTGACCCACAATGTCGTCTCACACATGCAGGGATGAACTATGACCCCGGCGCCCTACTATCCATGTTACGGCCTTTTAATAACACTAACATTACCCAAGTTATTATAGTTATTATATCAAAGTGTAATTAAAAATCGTGTGATATATTACGAGCCGTGGTATACTTCGCCGCCATTGTCATATATCACAGTCACTGAGAGCTTCAATAACATAACCCGTAAGGCGTATTAATAACATACCTTACCTCCGTGTTATCTTAATATCAGTATATAAATTAAAGTTATGAAGGGAAGCAAGCCTCTTAACCCCAAGAGTCTCAAGGCCACCATATACAAAATTCTGCTGCCCAGCCACACGATCCGACTATCAGCAATAATTAATTACCATCACCTGTTCAAGCAAAAATTAAGGGATAGGCAGTTTTAATGGTGTGAACGTACGTAGAGGTAAGAATGAACATCATCACCATCATCATCATCACCATCATCATCACCACCATCACCATCATCATCACCATCATCATCATCATCATCATCATCATCATCATCGGCTGTAGTATCATACAAAACAAGGTGACTGAACAAATTACTTTAAAAAAATGGGAAAAAAATATAAGTAATGTGATCTCTAAAACTTCCTCTTCCTTACTTCAGGGACTTTGAAGGTAAGTAGGTGAGCACAAATACCTTTATGATTTTGTCTTAGAGACTTAGATAATACGACACAATGGACGAAGAATTTTGTCAACCCTACAGAGACAACAGGAATCGCAGTGTTCATTTTGAAATTCATCGAACCCTTTCAAAAAGATACTTCTTGGAGTGTGGAATATCTTAACTATTAACTTAACTACACACAAATATAATCTATATAATTCTGATCTTTTAGTTTCTCTGGACATGAAGTTAGTCTTATATCTCAGGACCTGCTCACACTGAGGCCGGACGCAAACATATTCTGAAGCAGATTGTCGGCAGGCGATATGTGACGCTGCGGTGGATACTAGGATTTCCTCAGCTGAGCTAATTACCTGTTACACGATTCTCTGTCTTTCTAGGAAGAGGGAAACTGTCTTCCCTCTTGGATAAAATATGAAAGAATCGATATAGATGTGATTCGAATTTAGTGTGAGATATATGATGTTAACTGACTCACTCATTCGGACAATTTGCGTCAGATTAATTATGATCGTTCCGGCCTCAGTGTGAACGGGTCTTTGGAGTTACTAATTCGTTTTGTAAATTTTCAGGAAGAGTCAGTGTTGTAGCATTGACTGGTGTTGTGAAGTGACTGTCTATAAACTACTTTTGGAGCGAGTGGCAGAGTATCAGCCAATTCATATACTTCAGAGATAAATTATATCCTAATTTACTACATCTAAAGGAACCAATATCTATATAATGTATTCAGTCAGTCAACACTGTGTCAAATATTACTTCGATAACTTACATGTTCCGGACATAATTCACACTTCCATTTGATTCTCTCACCTTAAAATATTATAATGGTCACTAAAATGAGGTTTGTATCCACACCAGGAGCTGAAATCTGGCCACATTATACATCCAACAGCATCACGAGAGGAAAATGGAAAAACGCAATTTTTCTACTCCTTCCAAAATTCTTTTATGTTGTTTGTGGTTCTGAACTGTAAGCAAATCAGCAACAATGTCTTCTGTACCAGTTTGTCTTCGTGAAGCTGTAAATTACTATGAGGAAAATGTCTTGTTCTTCTTTGTCATTCTTTCCTTATTTTCTTCTTCTCTGTTCTGTTATTGCTGTTTTCATGTATTCATTTCTTCTTCTTTTTTTCATCTCCTATTTTGTCTTCGTCTTCTCCTTTCTCTTCTTCTTTCCTTCGACGTTTATTCCCTTTCTTCTCTCTTCCTCATCTTCTCTTTGTCTCAACTACTAGTTTCCTTCTCATTTTCCTTATTTTCTTTTTCTTCTCCCGCGTTTGTTCTTTATCTTACTTTCCTATTTCCTTTTCTTGCCCATCTCTCTTTCTCCTTCACCGCCTCTTCCTGCACACCCACCCCACCACCGCCCCCACCTTCTCCTCCACAAAGGCGTCACGTCAGGCCACAAGCACGGACGGGGCCGCTGATGGCAAGTAAACATACATATTTACGCAGCACTCTGAGGGCCCTATCGTGGACATCAACCCATCAATCATACCTATATTAACCACACCCTTATCTAACACATCTCGCGCTCCTGAACAATGAACAATAATAACCCCATGTTAACCTTTACACACGCAAAAAATAAAAATAAAATAAAGACTTTGAAGGTATTGTTAAAAGCTGTTTGTGTATTGTAAAGGCGATATTATACGAGAGGGAAACGGCTCTGGTACAAGGAGTTTGCCCTGCAGGACGCCCGGCTGTGCTTGACAGAGGCTGCATCCTTGCCTTGATCGATGGTGTTCATCCTGGGGGAGGGGTTGTTCAGGCAGTGAGCTGTTCTTCTTAAGACCAATCATCTGTGTGTGTGTGTGTGTGTGTGTGTGTGTGTGTGTGTGTGTGTGTGTGTGTGTGAGCGCTCTCTGGAGTACCCAATGGTTCTATCCTTGAGCCTCCACTCTTCCCGTTTATATCTAGAAGTTATACAAAACTTACACGTGAAAATTAAACCAACCAACCATGTCAAACTGTCTCTTCCACCCCACTCCCTGTGCTCGTTATCCTTCCACCCCACTCCTTGTGCTCGTTATCCTTAAACCCCACTCCCTGTGCACAACAATATAACCTTCAATGCTTTTAGTATTCAGTCCACAGGATTGACTTATCTCTCGCCATCACGACACTTATCCTAAACCTCTCCAACTACATAAAGAACTTAGATCATGACAACAACTCAACCAACACGTCTCTGTCCTTGTTTTGTGTGTTGCTAAAAGAGAGTTGATCTTCAGGGGTCTCTCTCTCTCTCTCTCTCTCTCTCTCTCTCTCTCTCTCTCTCTCTCTCTCTCCATTAGACACCCTGAAGGTCTTCAACCATGAGACACACACACACACACACTTCTCACTATCAACAGATACACACTGTATATATTTTACTTCTCTTCTACAAACTGTAAGACAATACCCACTTAAACGTCAAGCAGTGTTGGTCAGTGTCGCTACGTGTTATGTGTTTCTTTGTTGCCTTCTGAGTAAACTAGAGGAAGAATTGAACGTTAAATACGGATTAAGTTAAAGTGAACTTTGTAACATTTGTATAAACCAGTACAAGGTGTTCATCTTAACTTATGGTGTTAGAATGTGTGGAATTGGTTGCTTTTAATCTAAGACACAGAATGTTTGTAAATGTTTCGGAATGTTAATTTTGTTGCTAAGTGAACATTTTTTTAGTTCAGGTCGAGACTCGGTGTAATGTTGACTCATTTTTAAGCATTTGTACCTTAACTTTAATCAACCTAGGTGCGTGCACAGGTGAGAACCTAGGATACAGACGTGCACCAAGGATACAGACGTGCACCAAGGATACAGACGTGCACCAAAGATACAGACGTGCACCAAAGATACAGACGTGCACCAAGGATACAGACGTGCACCAAGGATACAGACGTGCACCAAGGCTACAGACGTGCACCAAGGCTACAGACGTGCACCAAGGCTCTCTCTCTCTCTCTCTCTCTCTCCTGTCTCACTTTTCCCAAAACACTTGAGGTGGCGACCTGTTGATTCTGCCCAGACCACCTGTCAACCTCCACCACCTCCAACAACACCCCTATCACCTTCTCCACCACCACCACCACCTCCACCACCACCTCCAACAACACCCCTATCACCTTCTCCACCACCACCACCACCTCCACCACCACCTTCTCCACCCCTATCACCTCCTAGTCCACCACCACCTCTACTTTCACCAACGTCACCACCACCACCTTCTCCAACGCCCCCATGTCACTAACACTACTACTACTTTTTTTTTTTAACGTGGCCTCCAGCCTCCCCCAATAGCCACACCTTCGCCACCATTTATTTACCTTAATATTAAATATCCTAATACATAAGAAACTATCCTATCTGTGTTAAATTAGTTGAGCCGCAGATCCATGCGGCATTCAGTGACTGTAGCCTCATAGTCAATATCTGCAGCAGTTGTCGGAGTAGGGGCAGAAGCTCTCGTTCCCCTGAGGCAGAGCAAAGCCGACCGAAGGAGAGAGAAGGACAGTCGACATCTCATCCAGGCTGTGACATAACTTCTGGGCTGCTGCTTCTGTTCGGAGATCAGCTCCGCGAGTCTGGCGTAGAAACATCTTGCGCTTGGGCCCATCCCACCAGAGGTTGTGAACACTAGAGGAGTGAAGCTGCCTTGATCAACTACTACTACTACTACTACAGTACTACTCCTACCACCATCGTTCTACACATCACTACCACTACTGCCACCACCATCATTCCCACTACCACTACTGCCACCACCATCACCTCTCACAACCACTATCTTCACAGCCACACCAACACCACCACTACCACCATCACCACCGCGTCCCCATTCCCACAACCAGCTCACTAGACGCCACTGAATTAGCCCAGTGAATAAGATGACTTAACCCTTTGAATATAATGACGTCTTCCTGGGGGTATAATGACATTGTATTTAAGGGGTTAAATCACAGTAATCAAAGGGTTAAAATGCTTACGTCATCGTAATCAAGGGGGCAAAATAACTCGTAATTAAAGGGTCAAATCATAGTAATTAAAGGGTTAAATTATCGTAATCAAGGAGTTAAATCATTTTTATCAAGGGGTTAAATCATCTTACTCATGGGGTTATAATATCTCACTCAAGGGATTAAATCATCGTAATCAATGAGTTAAAACACACACACACGCGCACACACACACACACACACACACACACACACACACACACACACACACACACACACATCCCCAAATTACAAGGGTTATCTTTCTTCACTTTTAAACTACAAACACATTTCTCTACCTAAGTTTATCAAAAAATATCACAACAGAACAAATTCTCGTCAATCTTAACAAATAACTGTAAATTAATACATAACAAACGGTATGGGAGTCACAACTTCTTGACAATTTACGCGATTTTCTTTTGTTTTCCCTAGATATTTCCCTAAAAGTCTTATCTTACGAAATTTCCCCCAAAAAGCTTCCCTGTATCTCTCGTCTTCACCCCCTCACTGTGTCCGGGCAAATGATTGATCGCTTACACTCCTATTGCTCTCACATTAATGGCCAGAGGATCGTAGGGGTCTTTATTACCGTAGGGGTCTTTAGTGCCGCAGGGGGTCTTTAGTGCCGCAGGGGGATCTTTAGTGCTGTACGGGGTCTTTAGTACCGAAGGGGTCATTTTTGCCGCCTGAGGTCTTTAGTGCCGCTGAGGGGTCTTTAGTGCCGCAGGGGTCTTTAGTGCCGCAGGGGTCATTAGTGCCGCAGGGGTCATTGCTCTCGCTACTACCCTCACCCTCTCATTTACATAACAAAGACCACTCATCAATAACCACAAGCTGTATCAACTCTTATACAAGCGACACTAATTCTCATAACAGTTGGGTGGAAGAACTGGTGGAAGAATAGGTGGAAGAACAGAGTTGGGTGGATCACACACTCACCCAACCACTGACAAAACACACTCACGCTACACACTCGCATCACACACTCACACCCAACCACTAACACCACACACTCGCACCACACACTCACACCCAACCACTAACACCACACACTCACACCACACACTCGCACCGCACACTCACACCACACACTCACCCAACCACTAACACCACACACTCACACCACACACTCGCACCGCACACTCACACCACACACTCACCCAACCACTCACACCACACACTCACACAACCACACGCTGTTTGAACAAGTACACACTATAGTAAACCCTCATTAATGACGCTTCTGAAGAATGTGTCAATGATATTTTAGATCGGAATAGAAATATATCGATAAACACTTATACGCCATGGTACTCTCCGCTAACCTAACCTAACCTAACCGCTCTGTGATTCCTGCTTTCTCCAGGTGTAGGTGAACGCTGTGTACTTAAAATAAGTTTGGTGATAAAGATGCATTCATAAGCACCAAGTTATGAATTAATTCGTGGTAATTATGTTAACGACTGTCATTAATCTGGACAACTTTTTCTCACCATTAGAGCGGATGTGTTATAATCCGTGAAGCTGCCAGCGACCAAATTTGGCAGCATTATCTTTCTCAACGAGTTATATTAAATAAGTTTTAAAATTGATTACTAACGTCTACTTTTTCAGTGTAATTTATAAATCAAGGTTAAGAGAATACTCAAATATACTCTTGTTTTACCTGTAAAATAAATAGAACCGCGACAAACGTCGCAGGAGACATATATTTCGCACCAAAACATTCGTTGGCAACCGCACTCTGGAGTCTGGGCTCCGGCCAGAGGAGTTTCGTCCAAAGCGACGACCACGTACCAAGCGTTGTTTAGTTTGTCTCGAGGCACGACTGAGAGAGGTTGTACGCAATCATTGCTCTGTGATGCTCTGTGAACTTGGGCCTCCCCATCCAAACTGTGTCTGTGGTCGTGTGATAAGAGCCAAGCCGATGTGATGCGGCCTCAGGAGAGAACAATGAGGGTGAAGATCCGTAGTTTAGTGCAGCAAGTGGCCATAGCGTGCGGGGCGGTGACTGTCTGTGTGTTGGTATTCCAGAATTTAGCACATAGTCTCCGTGACGCGGGAGAGACAGAGAGGGGAGCTTCCCCTAAGTTCCCCGTTGTGCACGGGTGGCAAGAGCGGGCGCCCAGGTCCCTCAATAGAGACTATGAACTGCCTGTAGCAGTAGACACTAACCTGGTGGGAGACACGGGCACCGAGGACGCCCCCGTTGCGATACAAAAATATGAACAATTGGACGAGGAGGAGGAGGAGAGACAACGAGGCATCCTCAACGCCCTGGTGGCCACGGCGACGGCCAAACCCGCCACTACCCTCGACGACGTCTTCATCAGCGTCAAGACCACCAAGAACTTCCACAAGACCCGACTTGACCTCATCCTCAAGACGTGGTTCAACCTCGCTCGTCAACAGGTGGGTGTAGTGTGTACATGGTGCAGTGTGTATGTGGTGCAGTGTGTATGTGGTGCAGTGTATGTTTTCAGTAGCAGCCTTGTCACAGCAACTTATTAACTCCTTCGCTATAAACCTTCAATATCAGGAAAAAATATCAAGAGACTTTGAGAATCCAACCCCTAACCTGGGACTCCTAACTCTGCTAAACGAACATAACAATTTAAGGTAGATTTTCAGATATAATTATGACGCCATTTTCCACGTTAGACATGTTAAGTATCCAACTCTTTGGATTCTTAAGTCAATTTTCCCTGTTGACTGGGGAGGTGGACACACACTTCAATGGTTCACTTTACAGCCCAAAATGTCATCGCAATTCCACTAAGACTCTACTAGATCAAAATTTAGCTAAGTCCGGCTTCTAAACCCACCAACTGGACACTTTGATTAAGTTCATGTCAAAAGATCAACCACTTAATATTTACTACAAGTCCATATCAAAAGTCAATCAACCAAACAATTAGAAAAAGTCTCTATGAAAAACTTCAACCACTGAACACTTTAGAAGCAGGGAGACCCATCACCTACACCACTACGCCAGCCAATACATTAATGATGGGGCCGAGGTGTTACCTTACGAGTGTCCGTCAGCCACAGTTGAGAGCTGGTAGGTGGGGCTGCAGGTCACTCAACGCTGCCAGTCTATTTATTACTTCCAATGTCGGGAAGGAGAGAGAGATGGATATTTATTGAGTAAAATCGTCATATAAAGTTTACAATGATTCAACATGTATAATATTGGTAAACAAAGTCACTCGTTGTAACTTTCAACTTCTCAGCTGACTAATTAAGTTTTGTTTACTTGCGAGACAGTTCGAACCCAATGTGGAAGACAATGAACCCAAACTTTAATTAACGTAAGGCGATTCTGTCGGAGCCTCGGTAACACCTGCTGCGTCAATATCCTGTCCAAGGCTTCAGTGGGTCTCGTATGGTCGATCGATGCTTCCATACTCGCGCTGTATACATCCTCGCCACGCGCGCAGCCAGGCGGGACTCATACTGTCACCCTACACAGCGGCAGCGGGAGTTGGTGGTAGCTGTATACCATGACCAGCTGCGTTATATAATGTCCCGGTCTTATCACTAGGCTGAAACTGACGCATCGTGTTTGCACTTCAGTTCCTGATAATGACTGATTAGAACGGGTACTTTGTTCTGGGCCGAGTGACTCACATCTGCTCACATCCTCTTTGTTGCTGTTCGTTTTATCAACTTGTTGGTCCCTCACAATGCAGACTGAAGAGGCAGCTGTCGGCTCAAACACCAAGGAAGGTCTTGATACAGATTCAGGTCCCAGACAGTTTACTGGGAGACACGAGTCACACCCGGGCAGTGACTGTACTGTATTATGAAGTTATTGTTTAACCTACACTACACATATGATCACCTGGAGATTATTTTACTTGATGATTAAACACCTCAGCTCTTAAACTCGCCTCTCCACCTGAAATATTCGGGGGTGCCTTATCTTCAGGTGATCCTATAAATATGTAAAATCTATTGAGAATGATTATTAAAATATTTTCCATGTAATGTATCGTCTGTATCATATACTTTATAACAATGTCTTTAGTCCCGTGTCAATTGGCTCCACGTTATAAGGACCGGATCGTTTACTACCGATAGAGCCAATGGTCCAATATTTCCATTATAAGAACAACAGACAACAGGTCATTTATCGCTCCCAATTGCCGTGGTGGTTTGGGTCCCCAGCCAGTGAGGTCAGGTCAACTCGGTGCTTCCATGACCTTTTTCCTTTAATCTCGGCAGTGGTCAGGGCAAACTTACCTTAATCGCTCTGAATATGTCTTAGTAAGGCCGGTGGGTACAAGCTTTTAACGGCTGTCTTGGGCTATATATAGTTGTGTACCCGTCCCGTCCAGTATATTTGAACCGATGTGTACTTGTATAGTGGTGATGATTTTACTGAAGACATATTTACATCAGAGACTTGGAGTAAAAATACACATATACGATTGTAAACATGAAGTATACGTTAAAGATTTATAAATGTTCGTCTAAGTTCACCACACATTATTTCTTACAACAAAAGGTGACAAAGGCAGTATGACGGACATTTCCTTTTTGGTGATAGTCTATTTCTTACTACAACCTGTGAACGAAGTAATGAGTGATACAGCATTACCACACAGACAGGTGAGTGTTGGCGAGGGAGGGTCAGGGGTAGGGAGCGTTGTCACCTGCTGGGGGGGAGTGGTCATTGACTCACCTCGTGGTCCTACTCAAGGTGTGTCTCAGCCCATCACCTCATACCTGTACCTCCATTAAGTCTCTACCTTAATGAACTATACTTTAAGGAGAAACTTACTGGAGGGACATTTTTTTTAATATAGATTATGATTGTGGTTCTATTTTATTATCCTAAGAAACTTACTGATACGTAAAAATTAGACACCCGAGCTTATTTCACCTGATGATTAAACACACTAACCAAACCCGCCCAGGTAACACACGTTTGTTTGATCATCTGGTGAAATAAGCTGGGATACCTAATCTTCAGGTAATTTCATTTCTATCTAGGGTAAGGTAGTCGTGTAGTGTCACAATTAACACACGTACACAATACTCTATGTGTGTATTGGATGTACGTGTTAGCGAGGGAGGGGGGGGGGTATCACCTATGCGGGACTGATCAAGTAAAAGCCGAGACTCACAGCTTGGTTCTTCCTATATCCTGTCTCTTCTATATTTCTATATCATGCTACACTGTAATTATTAGGGGTGGGTGTAATATATAGATCACCTGAAGATCAGACACCCCAGGTTATTTCACTTGAAGATTAACCTGGACCAATGCTGCATCTCCCACACTGTTTCTCCCCAATACTCTTCCCCAACACGGCTCCTGACCCCCTCCCCAGCACAGTTCATTACCCCCCTCACACTTTCTCTCACCCTCCCCCGTACAGTTCTCATCCCTCCCCTAACACTGTTCTTCACCCCCTTCCTACACTGCTCCTCACACCCCCCAATGTTCCTCCCGACCGCTACACGTTATACGCACTAATACTAATCAGTGACACAATTAGCACACGCACACATAAGAGCTACGGGTGTATACTGGATCTTACACGTTAGCGAGGGCATGTTGTCACCTGTAGCGGGATGGTCAGCTCTCACTCGCCTCGTGGCCCTCCCCTTCCTCTCATGTGTTTTAAATAACTAATGATTATCTCGGATTATCTAAAGATTAGCCTCCCTGGTGTTTGTTAATCTTCAGGGAAATAAGTTAGGGTGTCTAATCTTCAGGTGATTCTATATATCTACAGAGTAATAAATATTTCTCCAATTCATAGAACACAAGTACAGTAATGAGGTATATACTCTTGGTCCAGGAGCCACGCGGCGGTCTGGACCCACAACCTGACCTGTTGATGTGGTGACCTGACCTCTCATGACCCACAACCCGGCCGGGGTCAGGTGGCTGGTGGACAAGTGTTTGGTGGGAGTTATTTTTAGCGAGCATGTGGAAATAGACCACAGAAATCGGTATTAAATGTCTGACGCACTTAATGAAACCAGTCCACGTGAGTTTACCCCATCAGTGTGTGTCGTGAGTCCCATCAGTGTGTGTCGTGAGTCCCATCAGTGTGTGGCGTGAGTCCCATCAGTGTGTGTGTCGTGAGTCCCATCAGTGTGTTGTCATGAGTCCCATCAGTGTGTGGCGTGAGTCCCATCAGTGTGTGTGTCGAGTCCCATCAGTGTGTGTGTCGTGAGTCCCATCGTCGAGTCCCATCAGTGTGTGGCGTGAGTCCCATCAGTGTGTGTGTCGAGTCCCATCAGTGTGTTGTCATGAGTCCCATCAGTGTGTGTCGTGAGTCCCATCAGTGTGTGTCATGAGTCCCATCAGTGTGTTGTCATGAGTCCCATCAGTGTGTGTCATGAGTCCCTTCAGTGTGTCATGGTCCCTTCAGTGTGTGTCATGAGTCCCATCAGTGTGTGTCGAGTCCCATCAGTGTGTGTCGTGAGTCCCATCAGTGTGTCATGAGTCCCATCAGTGTGACATGAGTCCCATCAGTGTGTCATGAGTCCCAACAGTGTGTGTCATGAGTCCCATCAGTGTGTGTCGTGAGTCCCATCAGTGTGTGTCATGAGTCCCATCAGTGTGTGTCATGAGTCCCATCAGTGTGTGTGTCGTGAGTCCCATCAGTGTGTGTGTCGTGAGTCCCATCAGTGTGTGTGTCATGAGTCCCATCAGTGTGTGTCATGAGTCCCATCAGTGTGTGGCGTGAGTCCCATCAGTGTGTGTGTCGTGAGTTTGGGTCATTTGTTTGCCGGTGTAAACTCGGGGTGGACAGCGGCGAACACCTTGTCACGCCGCGCTCACCCGGTTACCACTACCAGCCATCCCCCTCACCCTGCACCCTGGGACAACACTCTCTCTCTCTCTCTCTCTCTCTCTCTCTCTCTCTCTCCTTGATCGTGAGGACCTGACTGGCTGGCGTTGTCCCGAATGAAACACACCGAATTGATTTTTCCCTACAATAACAAATTTTGTTCATTTAAGATTTGGGATAGCATTAGACACCCTCAGCTTATATCACCCGAAGATTAAATAAGCTGTGTTGTCTAGTCTCCAGGTGATCTTCATTTATTAACATTATCATCATGTGGAGGAAATAAATCATATCTAAGATGAAAAATACTCGCTGAGGAAAGAGCAAGATGGGGAGGGGTATTGTCTCCTCTCTCTCTCTCCCTCTCTTTCTCCAATAGTGACCACCGCCTCGTCCTCGTCTCCCCCTACAGCCACCCCAACAAACACCAGCTTCAGCAAAAACAACAACAAAGATGGTGACGCCAGGAACAGCTGATGCGCGTGAGAGGGCTGACGGCGGGAGGGGGGAAGGGGGGGTTCTCAGTCTCACGCACGCATGTCTGGCTCCAGGGATAAAAGACGATGAAAAAAGAAAGTTAGGGTGACGTGAGGGAGT